CCTGTTTGAGTCTGCTCCACTTTTGATAAATTCCTCCCGCTGTGCTGTCGGCTCAATCTGGAGCAGTTGCCCATAGTGATCAGCTTCTCTCAGGTTTGCTCATTAAGCTTTAAATATAATAGAAGCTGATTGGTTGCCATGCACAGCTGCTCTAGATCTTGTCTACTCCAGTTTTGAGAAATTCCCCTTAATGTTTTTGGAGCTCCAAAATCATGTCAGCTGCCTAAAGCTGGCCATACACCTATAGACAGGGCATGAAAAATCCACTCGTCTGTGATGAGAGGACGGTGGAGCCCAACGAGCAGCTTTCCGGCCGGCCGTTGTATTTGCACGGCCGGCCGGGAGCTTTACATTTAAGTGATCGGGCATCTCTATAGACGCTCGATCGCTTGTATCAGCAGCTGTCACTGCCGTTGCCGGGCCCGAGATCCGATGCGGCCAGGACCGGTGCGGCTCTGTGACAGGAGATCTACTCTCCAGTCCCCGAATGCAGGAAGTGATGTATATGACATCACTTCCTGCATTCAGTGTCACTCCAGCTAGAGAAGCTAATCAAGCCGATCTCTGGGGGTCCCTAGGTGACATTAGGGGTCTTTGAGACCCCTGATGTCTCCATATCCCCCCCCCCCCCCCCCCCCCCCCACATACATACACAGATATGCGCCGGGTGCACCTACGTGCGAAGACGATTGTGCCGCACATGTTACATATCTCCGCAAACATGGAGTGAGAGCAATAATTTTAGAGCCATTAAGGCCGAGTTCACACCTGGGCGTTTTACATCGCTGATCGACGTGCTGTAAAACGCCCAGCAAGTGAAATCCCATTATTTCCTATGGGCATGGTTCCCACCTGGGTGTATTTCAGCACGTCGGAAACACGCTGAAAAACGCCCTACGCCCAAAGAAGTACAGGAGCTTCTTTGGGGCGTATTTTCGCGCGTATCCATTAGGATACAGCTGGATAGCCCCCGTAAACAGGCGTTTGATGCGCGTTTCGTGGACTGCAAATCGGGGTAAAAACGCGTGGCCCGAAACACGCGTCATACGCGCATATTTCGATCACCTAGGTGGGAATCCAGCCTAAAGGAGAACTATGAGGTGAGTGCTTTTCACTCACCTCATAGTTCTAGCCGACCTGTGACAATGAGACTGTCACAGGTCGGCTCAGTAGATCGGGAGGTGAGCGAACACATACCAGCGTTCGCTCACCTCTCGATCCTGTCACGGCACAGAGCAATGACAGGGGAGGGACTGGATTCCCTGCTCCGATCCTCCAGCGCTGACTGGCGGAACGGACAGGGGCGGGTACAGCTGGCTCTACCTCTAGAGCCAGCTGTCAAGCAGCTGGGCGGATCCAGACATAATTGTCGGGATCCACTTCAGCTGCGACGTCTCAGTATACCGCGAGCTGTAGCTTGCGTCATAATGAGCTTAGGGTGACGGGAGGACGCTAGTTTGTGTTCTTCCTTTACCCTAAGGAGAACTATGGTGAAAAGCCTTAACCCCATAGTTCTCCTTTAATCACTGATAACACCAAACTGATGAACAGTAAAAGCGTTTTAATCGCCGTCTATGGGCGTTTTTTTGCGATTTTGTGGGCGCACGCAATTTTAAGGCTTGACATGTTTGGTGTCTATTTACCCGACGTGACCCCGACTTTTATGTTTTACTAAAAATATGGGTAAGAATAAATGTTTTATAACATAACATAGGGAAAGTTTTTTTTTTTTTTACGTTTTATTGTACTTTTTTCATTACATAGTTTAAAAAAAATATCCCCCCGTGGTGATTTTATACCTCCAAAAGAAAGCTCTATCTGTCCCCAAAATGTTTTAACATAAATTGCAAGGCTATAGTCCAATCATGCTGACTTGTCAAATTTTTCAAGCCCTGCCTATAGATTATCTGCAGATTTTCTATGGTCAGATGGGAAAAGTGCAACAGATTCCTCCATCTACGCTAAACTGTGTGGATGGAGGAATCTCCCGCTGGGCCAAGCTTCAATATCCTGCTAGTCTGCCCCGCTGGCTCTCAAAATACCTGAACAATCTGATTGGATGCAGGCATTGTTCAGGTGTTTTGAGAGCCAGCGGGGCCGACTAGCAAGATACTGAAGTTTTATTGTTGGGGTTTATCAATGTTCTTGTTATCATCCCAGCATCCTTGCATAGAGGTTGTTGGGAGGTATGTATTGCACTCTTATGTTACAGTTCTCCAGGCATCCATAGTTAGCAGCTGTGAAAATTCTGTGTAGAAATTGACAAATGTTGGACTTGCAGAGGTACAGTGCTCACACACAGCAAGTCTGCCTGGATGCAATGTAGATGAACAGATGTGTCCCCTGCACTCCTTACAGCATCCATGACCATAGCTTATTATTAAGCAGTGCTCGCAGTGATGATCACGGATGGAGCTATGCACGTCAGACTTGTATAGGAGAGAGATCACCAGCTTGCAGGGTCCCTTCATCAGGGCGACATAGTGACAAACATTGGCTATACTGATAAATGTGATGCTGTTTTGCAATAAATGGACATAAGGATTTGATGGGAATAAAAAAAAAACTTCTGAGTGCTGGTGATCTTTCTCCTATAAATGCCTGGATGCAATGACATCTTTCAAGCAACAACACATGATGATTGCCGCAGCAACGGATAGCGTGCAAGTGCACGCTTACCAAAGTGTACAAGCCAGCACAAACAAAATCCACAAAAACACTCTATCCACTAATAAAAAATAAACTCTATTTGCACATATTTGGTAAAAGTGTCCTCTGTTAGCACGTTTCATCCGATACTGGCCAAGTTGTAGTGAAGGGTCCAGTAACATGTACTCCCTTGAAAACCCTCCATGTTGGTGGAAGAGGCTGTGTGGAACACCAATGATTGGGAAGCAGAGGCACATATCAATATTTATCATACATAAAGTTAAAAACATAATCTGCAGTAGAGAGAGTGTATTGAAAGGGGTAAATGATGAGACACCAATTTAGTCACTTACCCGAATTTTGAGTTACAGGTTGGGGTTCAGTGATGTAGATTCAACTCTTCTTCCATTTTCATGTGTTTAAATGTGAGCGTACAGATGCAACTTAAAGTTATATTAAAGTCAGAAGGATCTTAATCTATGTCAAATACTGATAAAATCACTTACAATGGATGCTGCTCCTTGATGTTTAAAAGTTTGCTGCAGAATGAGCTGGTCCCCTGAGCTCTGGTCCTGACTTCCTGTTTTAGAGTGACTCCTTTCTCTAGCAGAGTGCTATGCAGTCACCCTTGTGTGTGCCAGTAAGCTGTGTGTGTCAACAAACACACAGACACAGCAAATCAAGCTACTTCCCTCCCCCCTGGCCCCCCTCCTCTATTCTCTAAGCTAGTAGATGAACAGCTCCCCCCTCCCCCCCCCCTCTATTCTCCAGCTCTGTCCCTTGTGATCTTGTACTGGAGAGGAAATTCAGGGAAGCTGAGAGACTTGGAAGCAGCTGTTTAGCAACATGAAGGGCCTGTTCATATGAGTATCAGGTGCGGATCTGCAGACGCGGTGCTATGTGTTTTGCCGCGTTTTTGATGCGTTTCAGTTTTTTTTGCTGGAGTGGGGCTGTCAGTATTTTAGTTGCAGTGCAGTGCGTTTTTGATGTGTTTTACTTTAAGGGACCGTACAAAATGTGACATGCAGTATTTTTCTGTCGTAACCTGAACGGACTGCGCACGTGAGAACTGTAGCCCATAAAACACAGGGATACATTGGGATTAATTTTTAGTGCAGGAGCGTACGGATCAGGTCAGCACAAACGGACGTCGTGTGAACAGGCCCGAAGACTGTTTTTGGGCAAAAATGTAAAGCAATGTTTTGCTGGGCAATGTATATTTATTTGATCTGGATTCATTATTGAAAAAAAGTTTGAGAGTTTAATACTAATTTAAGTTTGACACTTCAAATATCATTAGGAAGCATTCAGCCAATCTACTGTAGGTGGTAAAATATTTGCAGAACCCTAAAATTATATACATAGGCCAAAGCCAGCTACACACAAAACCAATTCCTACTGACTCGTCCAAAATTCACTGTGCTGGTGACCCTGTTCCCTCGGCAGAAGTTGATAATTAGAGATGTTCAGAGGTGCCATGAGCCCAGCAAAAGAACAACCATTATACTTGTCTCACCATCGGCACGTGTCTCCTACCTCCCCTCCGTTCCAGCTCTTCCGTAATGATGTGGTGGTCAGAGAAAGGAGCCACAGAGCAATGGGGGACACGGGCATCCGGCATTCCTGGAGGTTTTGATTGCCAAATGCTGCAGTGCTTGGACTGAGGGAATGTAGGAGACGCAGGCCACCCACAGGTAAGTATAACGCACCTTCTTTTGCCGTGAACTACAGGTACAACTCTGTGAGAGAGCATGACAGGGTTCTTTTTAATGAACTTTTTATTCAAAGTGGCAATGTAACATATACCAACTATATGTACTGTATGTGTGAATTCAAGTGTCATTTGTGGCATCTTGTGCTTTTTAGTTACCTAGTATACGTGTGTACCTTTTGATTGTAGTTCCAAGCTGAGACCACTCCGCCTTTTCAGTTATCTAGGCCTAAAACTGAAAAAGTTTATCTTCCTTGGTGCAGTAGGGTTTTCTCTGCCTTTTGCATTAGTTGTGTGGTCCTTAGCATGCTGTGAATGTTGGGCAGTGGGCTTGCAAGTGTGCTGCCCCCAGGGAAAGTGTTAATTAGGTGGTGATATGCATTTTCAGAATCTCCCTATTTGGAAACAGTGTCTTACATTTTCTAAATTCGTCTCTGCATTGTGTTTGGGTCAGTTGACTGTGTATGGCCATGTATGTACTGTTGGCAAAAAAAAAAAAAAAGAACCATGTTTTTTGCTTAATAGAATTTTTCTGCGAATGTTTGTGTAGACCATCAACGTACTTTGTGCTGTGCAACTTATCCACATAACATCTCTAAAACGTGAGTTCTTATCATTCCAAATCTTTCTTTTCTCACAGGAGGACCATTTTCTAGGATTTGGGCCAGATGAGGATGTTAAAACACGCAACCCTACAAAATTCCCCACAGGTACCTGATTTCTTTAGATTGACCTTAAAAGGGACCCATTCACATGTGTGCCCATTTCTATGGGTTTTATTATGGACCTGTTTAGAAGAACGTTTGTTTCTATCAGACAGGTTTTGCATGCCCATACAAATGTATGGGCATGCAAAACCTGCTTGTAGGAGGTCAACTGCAGATGCAGCTGCCATTTTATTTTGAATGACCTGAGAAGCCTCTCACCTCCAATATCCTCTCCTGTTTCCATTACTCTGACCGGCTCCTCTGTTCAGGATGCTTGTGAAACATCCCAAGAAGTGCTTACTGCTGACCAGTCTTCTCCTGTGTCCACTGTCACCAGGGGGATGAACCTTCCTCCCCACTCCTTGTGGCATTATAAAGGGAAATGCAAAATAAAAAAGATAAAACATAAACCCTTATATACTGAACACACACACACACCTATCGATAGATATATATACACATACACAGTGGTACCTCTGGAAGGAAGTTATGCAAAATGTTGCTTCTGTTCACGAACTCCACATCGGGTGACGAACACAACCGCAGCCATCTTCCGCCGTGATGACACGTGGTCGTGGCTTCCTCTAGTCGAGATCACAGTTTGATTCGGTTCGCAACCAATTTGGGTCACAACCAGAATCGTGGAACTAATTAAGTTTGTGAACCGAGGTACCACTGTATATATTTACATACACATACACTCTGTATATATGTTCCCCTGTGGCACCTGCTATTTACTGCCAGGACTACCGTGTTTCCCCGAAAATAAGACACTGTCTTATATTTTTTCGGCTCAAAAAAACACTCTAGGACTTATTTTCAGGGTAGGCCGAGCAGTGCATGTCTGCATTTTCTTTAATGGTAAAGGGCAGCTATAATTTTTTTGGGGACTATTTGTTTTTTTTTTTTTTAATCTTTACATGCTTTTCAACTGCTTTATATACTTTTTAATAGTTTTTTTTTAAAGAATTTATATTGTAATAAATAAATAACTGGTTTTGCAAAGCATTTAGGGTTTACTAAACACACAGCCAGCCAGGAGCTGCTTCTTTTGCTTCTGCAAAAATGAATCTCTATATCTCTCTATCAACATAGCAGATGATGGTGGTGTCTCTCCTCTGACTTCATTTAGCTGTGTTAAGTGTCTCAGATCTGCTTCTTTTGCTTCTTCAAAAATGAATCTCTATATCTCTCTATCAACATAGCAGATGATGGTGGTGTCTCTCCTCTGACTTCATTTAGCTGTGTTAAGTGAAGCTAGAAACACAGGAGTAATGGCAGAAAAAGAACCGGCGGTCCATCTGTCTCTTTTTGATTTTCTTTAACCTTTCTGTTTGAGTATAGAGCTATGTTTTTTCCAAGCATGTTTAAATTCACTTACTGTTGGCCGACTCACTACTTCTGCTGGAAGTCTTTTCCATTTGGCAAAAAAAAAAAAAAAGAACCATGTTTTTTGCTTAATAGAATTTTTCTGCGAATGTTTGTGTAGACCATCAACGTACTTTGTGCTGTGCAACTTATCCACATAACATCTCTAAAACGTGAGTTCTTATCATTCCAAATCTTTCTTTTCTCACAGGAGGACCATTTTCTAGGATTTGGGCCAGATGAGGATGTTAAAACACGCAACCCTACAAAATTCCCCACAGGTACCTGATTTCTTTAGATTGACCTTAAAAGGGACCCATTCACATGTGTGCCCATTTCTATGGGTTTTATTATGGACCTGTTTAGAAGAACGTTTGTTTCTATCAGACAGGTTTTGCATGCCCATACAAATGTATGGGCATGCAAAACCTGCTTGTAGGAGGTCAACTGCAGATGCAGCTGCCATTTTATTTTGAATGACCTGAGAAGCCTCTCACCTCCAATATCCTCTCCTGTTTCCATTACTCTGACCGGCTCCTCTGTTCAGGATGCTTGTGAAACATCCCAAGAAGTGCTTACTGCTGACCAGTCTTCTCCTGTGTCCACTGTCACCAGGGGGATGAACCTTCCTCCCCACTCCTTGTGGCATTATAAAGGGAAATGCAAAATAAAAAAGATAAAACATAAACCCTTATATACTGAACACACACACACACCTATCGATAGATATATATACACATACACAGTGGTACCTCTGGAAGGAAGTTATGCAAAATGTTGCTTCTGTTCACGAACTCCACATCGGGTGACGAACACAACCGCAGCCATCTTCCGCCGTGATGACACGTGGTCGTGGCTTCCTCTAGTCGAGATCACAGTTTGATTCGGTTCGCAACCAATTTGGGTCACAACCAGAATCGTGGAACTAATTAAGTTTGTGAACCGAGGTACCACTGTATATATTTACATACACATACACTCTGTATATATGTTCCCCTGTGGCACCTGCTATTTACTGCCAGGACTACCGTGTTTCCCCGAAAATAAGACACTGTCTTATATTTTTTCGGCTCAAAAAAACACTCTAGGACTTATTTTCAGGGTAGGCCGAGCAGTGCATGTCTGCATTTTCTTTAATGGTAAAGGGCAGCTATAATTTTTTTGGGGACTATTTGTTTTTTTTTTTTTTTTTTTAATCTTTACATGTTTTTCAACTGCTTTATATACTTTTTAATAGTTTTTTTTTAAAGAATTTATATTGTAATAAATAAATAACTGGTTTTGCAAAGCATTTAGGGTTTACTAAACACACAGCCAGCCAGGAGCTGCTTCTTTTGCTTCTGCAAAAATGAATCTCTATATCTCTCTATCAACATAGCAGATGATGGTGGTGTCTCTCCTCTGACTTCATTTAGCTGTGTTAAGTGAAGCTAGAAACACAGGAGTAATGGCAGAAAAAGAACCGGCGGTCCATCTGTCTCTTTTTGATTTTCTTTAACCTTTCTGTTTGAGTATAGAGCTATGTTTTTTCCAAGCATGTTTAAATTCACTTACTGTTGGCCGACTCACTACTTCTGCTGGAAGTCTTTTCCAAGTAGCAATTACTCTTTTGGTAAAACATTTATTTCTAAAGTTAGTTTTACTTAGGTTTACTTTCCTCCTGCTAGTTTGAGGCCATGGCACCGTGTTCTTTATCTTGGCTTCAGCACTGGTAGGTTTTGCAGCAAACCAGTTAAGAATAGCCCACCGAACCTTTGAAATGGAGCTTAGAATGCTATTTGATTCCAGGAAATAGAAGATAATAAATATAAATAAAGATAATAGATAATAAATAAATATTCATTTAAATTTAAAGAAATAAAAAGAAAATAGAATTAGTAATTTATAATTATTTCTGCACATATTAAAGAGAGAAAATATATACAATACACTATACAGTTTACTTTTAAAGGGAAGTCTTAATAGTTTGGGGTGCAGAATTTAGAGTATTGTGGGTTTACTAAACAAAACAAAAGGAAGAAAATTGAGGAAACATTTTGCTTCTTGCTCCTTTTTATGGCTTTACAAATATTTTGTAAAAATAATATTTTTATGTATGCCAGAATATTCTAACCAATTTTAATTGCTTTTTTTTTAACCATTCAGATCAGTTAACCCCAAGAAAACCTCGTGGAAGACCACGTTGCAGTTTGTCCAGGAGTTCTGATGTTTCTTCCCAGCCAACTGAAAACCATAGTCATGTCACTAGTAAGCAAGAACTTCGACCTACAAATAAAACGAAGAAGCCAGAAAATACGCCAGAAGAGAAAAGACGAGGGAGACCCCCAACACATGGAAATGTTAAACTCAAATTTACACAAGAAAACAACAATGAATCAGAGTCCACGAAATCTCCTCGTGATGAGAAAACAAAACGGAGGAGGCCCTCTGCTACTTTCAAACATGCTGCCAAAATCAAGAAACTCCGAGCAGTCAAACTTTCTCCACTGAAGCCCAAATTTAAAGCTGATAAGCTGGAGCTTGGAAGGAAAGGTGTTGTAAAAATTGTTAGGAGACGTGGCAGACCCCCATCTTCTGAAAGGTTTAAACCAGCACAGCCTAGGATTCCTTTGAGACAGACTCACCCAGAGAAGTCCCAGAGAGCCCGCAAAGAGGAACCTCTCCAAACCGCAAAAGAAGTTGTTAGGGTTTCTGTGCGCCAAAGCCCTCGACGACTTAAGCCTGTAAGGATAATCCCAACTTCTAAGAGAACTGATACCACCATTGCAAAGCAGCTTTTGCAAAAAGCTAAAATGGGGGCACAAAAGAAGATGGGGCTAGAAGCAGCAAAGCTTCAAGGGCGTAAGGGAGGCACCCAGCTCAAGAATATAAGACAGTTTATCATGCCTGTAGTGAGCACAGTGTCTTCCCGCATTATAAAAACACCTCGAAGGTTTATAGAAGACGAGGACTATGAACCTCCTATCAAGATAGCTAGGATGGAAACTGCTCCAAGTGGACGTTTTAGTTTAACATCTTGTGAATCAAGTGAGAAGTCAAGTGCAGTTTCACAGCAGTCTTCACAGGTTACTTCGGATGAATCCCGCTCCAGTAGCCCTAGCATAGACACCTCAACAGAATCACAGGTTTCAGAGGAGACAACTGCCATAGCAGAAGCTCCTGTACGAGTCACAGATATTCCTATGTCTACCCCTCAGTCAGTACTAGAAAGCAGTGGAGCTAGCACACGAAATAGACGCCTTCCTAATTGCAATAGGAATGTCAACTCCAGGCAAGCAAAGAAGATTTCTCAGACAGCTCTTCAGCAATCCTCTGCATCCCCACCTCCTCCATTGCTCAGTCCTTCAGCACCTTTGCAGGCCCCAGAACATTCTTCATGGCTTATGCCTCCTTCTATACCCATGGCTACAACTTTCCTTTCTAGTTCACGCATGCATGAAAAACGGAGATCTATATTGAGGGAGCCAACTTTTCGTTGGACATCTCTAAAGCATTCCAGGCTAGAGTCTCATTACTTTTCCTCTGCTAAGTATGCCAAAGAAGGCCTCATCAGAAAACCCATATTTGATAATTTCAGATCTCCACCTTTGACTCCAGAAGATGTAGGACTTGCATCTGCTTCTGGGTTTAATACATCCTCTGTTGTAGCCCCTGGAAGACTCTTTTCTCCACTTCATTCTTCTGGGGCTCGATTTGATTTACATAAAAGAAGCCCATTGCTCCGTGCGCCAAGGTTTACCCCCAGTGAAGCACATTCCCGCATATTTGAGTCAGTCACTCTACCATCATCTATCGATTCCTCTGGAACATCCTCCATTATAGGTATGTCTTCTAGAAGAAGGAGAAGAAGAGTCTTTAGTCCAGTCCGCAGGTCAGAACCAAGATCGCCATCTCACTCCATGAGAACTCGGAGTAGAAGAGAGAACAGCAATAGTGCTGCACCCCTCATACCTCAGTCATCCAGTTCACTTTCAAGCTTATCTGTCGGTTCCCGTACCACCAGTGCCTTAAGTCCCAGCTTTTCTTTTTCTTCCACTTCAATTTCTGCAGCACCTGTGGAGCCTGCAGAGAAATTTCAGAAAACAAGAAGGCAAGCCAGCACTTCAGGAGAGCCTTTCTCATCCTCTTCCAACAGTTCTTCTTCCCTTTTTCCATGGTTTTTATCTGGCTCCCAGTCAGATAGAGTAAAAAATAAGACCAGAGTATCAGATGAGGCATCGAAAGAAAGGGACATTGAAAAATGCAGGGAAAAGGAAAGAGAGAAGGAAAACTCCCACGACTTAAGAAAAGATAAACGCAAGAAGATAAACAAAAGTGGCAAAGAAAAGGTTGATGGAGAGGCAATTATTGCTTCTACGGCAATAAAAATGTTATCAAAGAAGAAACAAGTCATCACAGAGCCCTCAGTAACCACTACTCCACCATCCCTTGTTGCAGCATCAGTATTGGTCAAGCACAAATTTTCCAAAAAAGTTTGTGGCAATTCTGAGAAACAAGATACTGACTCTCGTGCCAAATCCCCACCCTCAAACATCCAGATACCTTTGCCTGAGCAGCCTGCAAGTCCTGTTAAGTCCTCTACCACCACTATCAGCTCTGTGCTAGACCAAGCCAACAAAATTCTGGTTTCAGAAAAGCATATGGCCACTATCATAAGAACAGCTAAATATCAATTGCAGAGTATAGAAAAAAGTAAATTACGAAAGCAGACGGAACAGCCCAAAGCACAGGTGAGCAAAGCCCAAAGCACCATTAGTCACCTGTTATTTGTCTTCTCTTTCTTGGGTCTTGTGCATCTGTCTACACATTCTAACTTCCTATACTGTGTATTATGACCTGAGGAATGGGGGTTAAAGTAATTTGTATAAAAGAAAAAGCAAGTCTATAAGGACTGGTGATTTTAATTCTTGTTGATTTTAAAAGAACCCTATCTTTTGGTAAAATGCAAGGAAAACCAATGTGAAAATGTAGAAACTAGCAGGGGGATGTATTAAGACTGGAGAAGCTGTGCATGGCAACCAGGCAGCTTCTATCTTCAGCTTGTATCAGTCTTGATAAATTCCCACATATAGCGCTAGTACATAATCCATTTGTTAAATGCTCCCTGAGAGCACAACAATTATAATGGGAAGTGGCATGTATTGGTGCTGTATGCCCCTTTCTATAACCTTGATACATTTATTTTACACTGCCTGTAAAGAGTGATCATTTATTTTTATGGAAAGGTAAATCACAGTGGATTTCATTCTGTATGTTTTTGTTTTTCTGATCAATACAAATAGACTCTTTCGTGTCAAAGTGAAACAGATCTGTGCAAAGTGATTTAAAGAGATTTTTTTGTACAAGTCATTCTGAATTGAGAAAGCTGGTTGGATGACCAATGAAACATCTTCAAGAAAAATACAGCAAGTCCAGTTGCCTTGACTTATTTTTTTTACAGATAAAGTGATTTAAAGTTGAACTCTGGGCAGCAGCATTCTAGTGTGCTACTTTTTTAGTCCAGCTTTCTTTATAAATATTTTTCCAGGAAAAAAAACTCTGTTTTGTGTTACATTGTGTATAGTACAACTTGTAATGTACCCTTGTGCATGTGTTGCCTATTCACAAAACACTGTGGCAGCAGAAGTCTTCCAGGGCCTTCTGCTGAGATGTACCTTCACGACATGATGCTGCATTGGGGAGATGGTGAGTTTGATGATGTTCTGTGTTTGACTAATACCAAACATGGTTTCATCTGATGGGCAAAGAGCTCTATTTTGTTCACATGTTTTCTGGTTAACTGTAGGTAAGATGTCATGTGAGCTTTAGTTTAACAGTGACTTTCTTTTTGCCCCTCTTCAGTAAAGCTGGGACTGGTGAAGTACCTGGTTGTATTACAACAGTTGTATTTGTAGGCTCCCATCTCAGCGATTGAAGCTTGTAACTCCTTCAGAGTTGTTGTAGGGCACTAGTCTTCTGCTAGCTTACTCAATGACTTTTAATGGACAGACTATCCTTAAGACGCTATAGCCATGCTTTCCATTTCTTAATATTTCCTGCACTCCATAGGACATGCAGTGACCTGAATTTTTAATATCCATCTCCTGGTTTTTGCTTTCAGTCATCTTTTCACTGAATTTCTTGGAGTGTTTATTTGTCTTCATAGTGTAGGCTATGTCATGATACTGCCTCCAGAAATTGGACCCCACAGATGCATGTGTATCTGTATGAATCTCCTAGACCAGTGGTGGCGAACCTTGGCACTCCAGCTGTTCTGGAACTACAAGTCCCATTAGGCATTGCAAGGCTCTGACAGCCACAGACATAACTCCCAGAGGAAGATGCATGTTGGGATTTGTAGTTTTGGCACAGCTGGAGTGCCAAGGTTCGCCACCACTGTCCTAGACTTAGCAATTTTGTTCTAGGTATGTCATATTAAAGGGCATATATTCCTGCTTATGCAATCAGGTATTTTGTGTTGTTTGTTTTTAATTTAAATCACTTTGCAAAGATCTTTTTTACCGTCGAATAGGCCCCATTTACATCGTGGCGGTTTGGCCGCACGGATCCGCCGACATGAACGATCCCATAAGTTGCTATGAGGACCGGTCATGCGACCGCGTGATGCGAACCGCCCCCCGCCCGAACTGCTCCATGCACTATTTTTGCCGCGCTGATCAGTGCAGTTTCCATACAGGTTTCAATAGAACCGCGCTGATTAGCTCGGTTTTTTATTTTCGTTTCAGAGCTGAAATGCAATTAAAAACTCCCAAAACCTCCCTTTGCGAGATCAGCATGGTAGCCGCGCTGATCCGCAACCGCCCTGGTGTGAATGGGCTCTTAATGTAGGAAAAATCAAATACATTTATTGATTATTCTATGGCAATGAAACATGAAGGGGTTGAATCATGTTCACTGTATTTTTTGTTTTGGAAAGACGGATTAACATAGTATTAAACTAATTTATTTTCAATAGTGAATCTATATTAAACAAATATACTTTGCCCAAACTTAGTCTTCATGTTTCTGAAGAGCTGCTTCCAAGTCTCTCAGCTTCCCTGAACTTCCTCTCCAGTACAAAATCACAAGGGACAGAGCTAACTCCAGCAACTGTTCATCTACTAGCTTGCAGAATAGAGAAGGGGGCCAGGGTGGAGGGAGATAGCTTGATTTGCTGTGTTTGTGGAGACACAAACTGCTTACTAGCACACACAAGGGTGGCTCCATAGGACCCAACAAAGGAAAGGAGCCACCCTAAAACAGGATATCAGGGCCAGTGCTCAGGGAACCAGTCGATTCTGCAGGAAGCAAAAACTTTTAAACATCAAGAAGCAGCATTTGTGTGATTTAATCATCGTTTGAAAATGCTTTACAGTCTTTTTACTTTATTATAACTTTAATTTGAAATGTATTTCCACTTTTGCAACAAAATTGGTATAACATCTACTTTACATTTGTCACATGTTCCCATTCACATAGCGTCCCTGCGGTACATGCACATTTCCACATGTTTTATCCCTCTAAATGCTGCACGTAAAGAAACCAACCTTAATGCTTCCAGAAACGCAGTAAGCTCCAAACTTCGTGCATACTCTCACTCTACAGCACTGAAATCTCAAGCAGCATTATCAGCCCTGCTTGAGTTCCCCTCTGCTGGACTATAGGACACAAACCCACTTTATTATGGCAATTAGCCAAGAAGGAGGTGATCTATACTCCAGCATGATAGAACAGAGCATAGCTGACAATACGGTTTGAGATTTACGAGCAGCAGAGGCACTATTTTGTCAGCTTAAGCAGGAGGTTAGGCACTTATTGTATTTCTGTCAGGTAAACCGGTATTTTTCTGTACTTGCAGCATTTTTTGAAGAGACAAAACAATAGCAAATACAAGCACATCAGACATGTATTGTGTATGTTGTTTTTTCCCCCTAGTCATAAACTTCAAGAAAACATAGAGTTTTTGAAAGAAAATCCTAACAGGCTCAGGCACCACTTTTTCTTTTATAAACTTGTCCAGTTAGGTGGACTGTAAAGCCTGAGGCACCTTCTGGTAGTGAGACGAACTTTGATGAAAGCCAGTCTCAGGCTGGTTATAGACTGAAGAAATCATTGACCATGAAGCCTAAGGCATTCCCTTCCCTAGCCCTGGAAGAAGTATTTCATGTTGCAAGAGCAGTTAAATTGCCATCAATAATGGTAAAAAAGAATTCAAAAATTGAAATTTCACCAAGTGAATAGAGAAGTGGTCCTCTCATTGCTTGTTTGAGTTTAAAAGCACAATGTTAGAAAAGATCTACTGTTTGACCTAGCTTACACAGATAGTCCTGTGGCCATGTCTGGTCCGTGGTACACATACAAATTCATTTTCTTTCTCGTCCATTGAGAGACACAGGAAATGTTTCACCTTCGGTTATACTGCCACCTCCAGGCAGATTGGATACTGGAAAACAAATCTTAGGTCAGCCCACCATAACCCCTAGCATTACCACCATGCTTCAGTTTTCGTTTCTTAATTTTAATCAAAATGTATGTATTGGACTTTTGCCAATACGCATGTGCAGTGCAAGTCTGTGGACCCTGTGAGCTTGTGACCCACAGGGTCTCTGATGGACAACTTATTTTCAGACAAACCCTTGATACTATCAAGGATGTCACTGGAGACAGCTACACTCACCTGCCTCAGCGCAAGAAGGGAAAGGTCTACGTTTCCTCCTTTTCCTTTCTTTACTCCTGGGGTATGTACATCTAGAACCCCAAACGTGGTTAGAAAAGCCTTCATTAGCATAACGGTACACTTTCCACAGTAGGGAGATGTTTTCAATCTTCTCATACCTCTTGATAATTTGCCCATAAGGCATCTAGGTACACAGAGTGTTTCTCTAGGGATACGAACTGTGTATTTGCCTCCAGATCACTCTTCGACTCCTGCCTTCTACCTTTTTGTGTCACTGCACAGATTAGCAGACCTACCTCTGCCCTTTTGGGGTCTCCTGGGCCTATGGCTCATCTCATTATTGTCTGAGCTTCTGTGTCAGATCAGTCTCAGGAGTTGTATTTCAACTTGGCCACTGTTCTGTTTTCCAAAGTGAACTTCTGCCACGCTCACTTCTGCCTCACTGAATGCTGAACAGGGTTGTCTCCACGTGCAGGAATCCTCTGGCAGTAGCAGTGATTACCTGGTGACTGGAAAACTCAAGGGCATCTCTAAATCTGTGACATTTTGAGGCTCGATGTATATCATAGGACTTCACCCCTAGGATAGAAATGGGCTAGAGCTCAGCTCTCAGCACTCTGAAGTCTGTCTCTCTCTGTTTTTTGGTTTGGGTTATCCTGGGCTGGTCTATGATTCTTTTGTATGCCAGTGTTCAAGGCGTCAGTGTAACCCAAAAGACTTTCTGTGCCTCTCAATGGACTCCAGGAAAAGGGTTTTACAGCCAGTCCAAAAATCTTATTTATAGCAAAACCCTTGTTTTGTATCCCTTTACATGCAGTTGGCATACAGATTATTAGAAAACGTTTAAATTGCCAATATACAACTTCAATATGGACTGCTTCACTTTGGAAAAATAAATTTATAGCTTCACATCTTCGTGTTACGGTCATGCATGCTAAATTAGTGTTGTGCAATACCTTGCTCTAACATGCTTTATATGTGCATTGACATTTATTTTTAATAACACTCCAACCCACATTGTCAGTTAGGTGGTGCATTGACATCCGTTGCTGGCCAGTTAACTATGAATTTATAATATGTATTACACATATGCGTAGGTGTAAATTCAGCCTTAAAGATGCCTCTACTCTGCAATTAAACTGATTGTCTCCGTGTGGTATTATTTATATCTTATTGTAGGGCCAGGAAAGTGATTCTTCTGAGACATCAGTGCGTGGACCCAGAATTAAACATGTTTGCCGAAGAGCTGCTGTGGCTTTGGGCCGCAAGAGGGCAGTGTTTCCTGATGACATGCCTACGCTGAGTGCCTTACCTTGGGAAGAAAGAGAGAAGGTTCTGTCTTCCATGGGGAATGATGGTAAGCTTTACAAACTTAAGAAAAAAATGGTTTTATTTATTTATTTATTTTTTATTTTGCATGTTCCCACAGTTGGTTTGATTCCATCATGTCATTCTGCCTCCTTCAGTTTGTACAAATCACTCATATTTTACTTGCAATGGGTATTAAACCCAGCACAGCTACTGGGAACTCAGTCACCTTAATTCAGTCACTATGGAATGTGAAAAGGGATATGTTGATTTCCAAGAACAGGATTGGAGGTGTGGGTTGTAGAAGCACCCTATTCTAATCACAAAATGTCATCCCTTGGTGCAAAGTAGTCTATTAATCCTTCGATTTATTTGTCTGAACGTGTGAATTAATGTCAAATGGCCAGGGTAGAGATGTTAAAATGGGATTATTTGCATAACAGATTGTGTCAAACATCTGTGTCCCTGTTTAGGGATGGTTGTTTCAGTATGGCGCAGATGACCTTTCACGCCTTTTGTGAACTAGTTGTCCTTTCTATCCAAAATATTCACCTCCATGTCTCTTTGCTTGCATTATGTTAGGGCAGTAGAACAGAAAAGCATGTTAAAATCCGCCTTTTAACATTCACATACACATGAAGACAAACCCTGAAATTGCACTGAGATCAATTTAGGAGGCTTTTTCATCACATGTACTTACTTAAACAGGGCAGATCTTCTGATCTTCAAAAACATGCAAAGAATACTGTTGTTAAAGTGACATTAAACCCACAGATTTTTAAACATAAACCAATACTGTAATGTGTGCCTTACTGTAATCCATGTGGTTTCCCTTCTCTTTGCTGCTCTTCCTTTTAAATCCTCATGTCTTCTCATGCTTGGGGAGAACTTCCCTTTGCAGCTGACTGCCTCCCTGTAGTGCTGGCTCAGGTTGTGAACCTGCACACAGACACCATGTATCCATTCCAGAGACAAGGCAGTCTGCTGCAAAACAGAAGTTCTGCCCAGCATGAGAAGAGATACAGATTTAAAAGGATGAGCAACAAAGAGAAGGGAAACCACCACGGATTACAGTAAGGCACACATTACAGTATTGTTTTATGTTAAAAAATCTGAGGGTTTAATGTCACTTTGAAGGCACTGCAGGGAGAATACAGTCTCTGGTTTTAGGGTGATACTACTCTATGAATACAGCTTATCATGGCTTGTTTTTTAGGAATATAGTCACCTCTAAATCACCTCCAACTAACCAGTCAACAATTGCTACATGATAGTGTTTTAAAACAAGGATCTTTTCTTGGCCACACACTAGATGTCACTGTGACCTCAATTGATTAAAACAACTGAACAAGTATGAACATTATAAAACAAATATTGTTTTGCATTGAAGCAATTCTCCCCCATGCTTCACATTGCAGCTTTTGGCTGTATTAGTGTTTCAGAGGTTTACTACTAAATAAAACCTTAAAAGAAATGTACAGTATTTCACTGACTTTTACATAAAAAGAGCAAGCAGCCTGATTATGTAAATGTGTAATAATATTTTAAATAATTGTAATTTCTATGTATAATATATTACTGTTATTAATTGTCATTGACTTATGTAATGCATGTTCTTTAAAGGAGAACTATGGGGTTAAGTCTTTTCCCCATAGTTCTCCTTAGGGTAACGGGAGGACACAAACTAGCGTCCTCCCGTCACCCTAGGCTCAGTATACCGCGAGCTGTAGCCCGGCTGCGTGACTGACAGCTGGCTCTGCCTAACTAGAGGCAGAGCCATCTGTACCCGCCCCCTCACCCGTCCGTTCCGCCAGTCGGCGCTGGCGGATCGGAGTGGGGAGGGGGGAATCTAGCCCCTCCCCTGTCATGGCAGAGAGCCGTAACAGGATCGAGGGGTGAGCGAACGCCGGTATGTGTTCGCCCACCTCCCGATCTACTGAGCCGACCTGTGACAGCCTCATTGTCACAGGTCGGCTAGAACTATGAGGTGAGTGAAAAGCACTCACCTCATATTTCTCCTTTAAGAAAGTTGCTATTTAGGTCTGTGTTGTTTTTGATCTTTTCTACTTTTACTTATGCAGACAAGTCCTCCATAGCTGGTTCAGAGGATGCTGATCCCCCTGCTCCACCCATTAAACCCATCAAACAAGTCACCCGCAACAAGACTCCGCAGGAACCCCCTGTGAAGAAAGGCCGACGCTCTCGCAGATGTGGACAGTGTTCGGGCTGCCAGGTGCCTGAAGACTGTGGCACCTGTACAAACTGCCTGGACAAGCCAAAATTTGGGGGACGCAACATCAAAAAACAGTGCTGCAAGTAAGGATATTGTCTAATGTAATTCTATGTACTTTGTTGAAATGCATTCTAGTATATTTAGTCATATTAATGTGTGTGTTTTTTTTAACTCAAATAGTTAGTTTTTTTCATTTAAATACAAGTGATTTTTGTTTCAGTTTGGTTAATAATTTTGTATTTTGCTATTGAGCATATTTTTTCTTTTTTTTTTCCTAGGATGAGAAAATGTCAGAATTTGCAGTGGATGCCTTCTAAAGCTTATATGCAGAAGCAAGCAAAAGGTAAATAAATATCAAGACATTAAACTATATAAAGTTTATTGAATATTTTAGTCTTTCCTTTTACAACTTGTTAATGTTATTTTATTTAGCAGCCAGAAAGAAAGAAAAGAAGTCCAAGTTGGCTGATAAACAGGAGGCTCCTGCAGTGAAACCTTCCACGGAACTGAGTCCAAAAAACGCTGTGAAACCAGCCGCTGCTGCAACACCTCCAAGAGAGGATCCTCCCCACACACCACCTCCAGCAGCAAAAAAGGCAGATCCTCCAAGGGCCACTGCTGAAAAGGTGTCAGAGGAGGAGAGCCAGCCTGCACCCACCTGTGAAATTAAGCAGCCTCTTTCTTCTCATAAAACCACAAAACAGATTCCAACACAGCCTGCAAGCAATCCAACATCAGCCCACAATAGTCCTACACCCATCTCTCGAAAGGAAGCACCGAAACCCTCAACATGTGAGACAAAGAAGAAGCAACTTTCTGTCCCTGCAGAGATTGGTGAGTGGCATACACTTTTTAGCTACTGATATCGATTATCACATAAAAACCCTGTTACCTTGCTGGTAAAGGATCTTCAACCCAAACTAATAATGCACACATTGCTTAAAAAGTACCAACTTGCAGTATGATTTATATTGCCCATTATTTTAAAATAGGTAAAATGTGTAACAAAACCTTTTTGTTATGCTCTGATGTAAAAAAAACCTGGTAATGCGTACTCTGTTTTGCTGGGGTAATGAGAAAACGGCAAACTGATCAAATGTTTTCCTCCCCCCCCAGATTTACCTAAAAACCTAGCTATAATTATGTAAACAAAATGGGGTTAAAGCAGGTGGTCTAGCCCTTTTTCTACTGGTAAAATGTAAATCAGATGCTCAGACATGCTGAATATTAAGCAAACTGTTATAATTGAGAAAGGTTTCTATAAACAGTGACCATGAGGCTTTCCCTTTCTACCCTCCATAGCCTGTCGATAGGGGAATCTCTGAGTTTTTTCAAGTGCAAAGCCTTGGAATTCACATGTAATAAATGCATTTCATAAAATAGTCGGACATGATATAAATATAACTGTTGCCAGTGCTATTGTCTTTTGGAAGCACCAGTTATGAAGTGAGAAGGAAGGGCCCGTCACACCCCCTCCTGCCCCACAAAAAAATGAGCCGGCCGCAATGCCAAGGCGGTGCGTTCTGGCCAGAATCGGCTCGGAAAGCACCGCATCTGGTGTGAGCGGCCCTAAGGCTTGGTTCACACCATTTTCCAGACCAGATCTGGAACATAGTGCATTGCATTTTTGCCGCATTTTTAGCGGCGATTTTGCCGCTTTTTTTTTTTTGTTTAGCTTAAAATGGTCTTACAGTTGCGTTCCATGCGTTTTTGATGTGTTCCAGTGCATTCCAGACTGACATTGCAGACAAAATAGGACAAGCAGTATTTTTCTGGTCTGGTCTGGAACAGACTTCGCAGGCCAGAAATAGCATAGGGATACATTGGAATGCATTTTGGGTCCAGAAACAGTCTGGTCTGGAGGTAATCTGGATGTGGTGTGAATGGGCCCTAAAGCATTGTTGCAGTGATTGCTAGCCAGCCGGATCAATTCAGCAGTTTTAGATAAGTGGGATTACTGCCTAATTAAAGACTTTGCTATATTCCATTTGCGTCTATAAAAGTACACTCCTAAAACCTTCATGTACACTCGCTTTTGCAGTTGGTGTGGTCAAAATCTATGGCTAAGGACCCTAAGTCCAGTTTGATGGACCCCATCGCTCTAAAACAGCGTTTATTCTTTCTTGTGGCCATGCACTACGGTGTTGATGCCCTGGCAGATACCCTCAGACAATTCTCCAGGATGGGCCCCCTGTCTGTCTACATGCAATGGATACTGAGACTTGAATGCAGGTTGGTGGAGCTTCCTTACAAGTGGCACCTTGAATGCCCTTTACTGGGGATCACTCTTTCAGCAAATTGGATACTTGCATCAAGAAAATCATAGGGGGGCAAAGCACCTTCTTACCACAGAAGTCCAAGCCTCCAGTAGCTAGATCCCCTGTTTCCTCCTCCTATCATCCCTTCCAACCATCAGGGCTCAGGCCCTCTAAGCCTGCTAAATGTGAGAACAAGCCCTATTCACACTTTAATTAGTGTGGGGGGTCCGTTAAACTTCTCGGCCTCCTGGGCACAGGACATTGCCGATACCCTGGTTCAAGGGTCAGAACCAGTCAAAGCAAGGATGGTGTGTGTCTGCCCTGCTCTTGATCTGAGGATTCTCAACAGGTTGCTGTAAATCCAAACGTTTCATATGGAATCTGCCAGCTTTTATCATCTACTCCACTTACCACGAAGACTTTGTGGCATCAAGAATGTGTAGTTGCACATCCCCATTGTTCCTGTCCAGCAATGCTACCTTCATTTTGCTGTAAACATGAAACATAACCAACTTGTTGCCCTTCCTTTTGGCCTGTTTACTGTGCCTTAAGTCTTTACTAAAGTGTTGGCCCCTCTTTTGGCTTTGCTTCAATCTAAGGGGATCCCCATAGTGTGGGGTACTTGGTTGGCACATGTATTTTCGGTCAACCTTCATCTTTGACCTTTTGGATAGGTCCTGAATCTCCAGAATTCAACACTGCAACTCTATTGTTGCCCTATCCAGGTTCTTCCTTCCACTGGATCCAATCTCTCTATTTCTACACTCAGGGAATTTCCCATCTCCCCATTTGCTTGTCTACTAGCTTAAAACTGTTACTGCCACCCTATCCTCCCAGCCCAGTTAGCTGCGGCAAGGGCATTCCCCACCCCTTTGTGGTGTATAGCTACAGGGTGGAGAATGTGCCTCTCTGCAACTGTTTGGGTCAGAAGGAGTGGATGGCAGTCACAGTTTTAAAACAGACTTGGGTCAACTCAGGTGAACTGGGTTCTCACCAAGCCCAAGCTCATCACTACTTTCTGTTCAAGGGGCGGAAAAATCTGAACTCCCGATCAACATGCTAGGGCTTACAGTTGTCCTTCAATGCTATTCTCCTGTGAAGATTAAACAGCCATAATGAAAAAACTCCTGTCCCAAGAAGGCTGGCAGTTCCTCATCATTAAAATGATGATGCTCTTAGAGTGGACTATAGAGCGAAGGCATAATCCGCTGCGGATGGCCCAGCAGTATTCTGCATATAAGAAAAGATAACCCCAAAGATGTTGAAAAAGAAAGCAGTCCCAATGATGTGATTGAAAATATCAATTATTACGCTTTACTTGGTATCCTTTGTTATATCCTGAGATTGCATAGAACATAAAGAAACATATTCATAGATTGAGCAATCAGATATTAGTGTCTCTCAGCCAAAAAAACATCTTCATTGCAGTCATCCAAATAAGGAATGATTATAAACTGCTGCAGATAGCCAAGCAGTGTTATATATTTAGTAAAAGTTGACTCCTGCCTGTATAAGCAGGCAGTCCCACAATATAGAGATTGATAACAAGTATTTATACTTTCCTTTGTGTGTTTTCATGAATCACACACTGATATATGCATAGATAAAGCAATCAAATAATAGTGTCTCACAGCAAAACAATCCATCCAAGTTAAGTCTGTGGATTCATATAATTGGACTACACTTAAAGCTGAATAGTATACTGTACTTAGCTGGAGCAGGTATTGCAGAGGGCTGAAGGATCTGGACAAACTGCACATGGCTCACTGCACTGCCATGCAGAAAGAATTCGGCTCGTCCCTAAGCTTTTTAAAAGCCAACCCACACTTTATTGTTTCTTGAGATTTATTTGTGTTTGACTGCATCAGTTAGAAATTCGCTAAACATTACTAAATGAACTGGAACTGGTTTATCTTCAGAGGTGCTTGTAATCCTTTACAGAGATGTTCCGGCATATATAGCAATTTCTGCCAAAAATTATTTTTTAAGAGGAGACCAGTGTTTTGGCATGAATGCATGGGTTAAGAAATAATAGTTGTTCTAGGGCAAGTAAGCGTGGCTAGATTTTTTTTCTCTCTTCTACCTATTATGTAGAGATTTGCTCTAGTACTGCTGACCATAGAGGACTGGGTAACTGAAGGGAATATTAAAATGCATTTTTGGGTTTTGTGATGTGATTGTTGGTGAGAATGGGAACACCAGACGTGGTAGGTGAAAATCTGTCTCTGGATAGTGGAAAGAGCACCCTCAGATTATTCACTGCTCGTATCTACAATGTAAGTGGGAGGTCAAAATCAGAAACAAGACTTTAAAGATGAAGAATACAAACCCAAATTAAAACTATGGTCACTTGTTTTCTCTTGCCCCCTCTGCAAAGTCCCACAAATACCCATTGATCCAGCTAGTGATATCCACCTAATGCAGCTTCCTGTGATGGTGTGGCAAGGATGCTACACTGCTCCTGAATTCAGAGCACTGTTGCCACTATCATGTCAGCTGTGCCTGCTTGCACTAGAGTGAGATGAGATATTGCATGCGAGGTGGCTATCAGCATTGCCTCTGTTGCTGAAATCCTCCACTGTGAGCTGCAGTGTGAAGGGAGGAGCTGGGGAGTTATTGAGCGCATGTGAGACACAAACGAATGATGATTTGGTTCAGTCAGGGCAGGTACATGAAGGTTTTGCTTACTTTGAGGCTTGTGCATCGCATAGTAACTGGATTTGGGACTTTATGTTCAGGAGCCTTTAGTTTTACCTTAAAGGAGAACTGGGGTTAGGGCTTTTCCTCATAGTTCTCCTTAGGGTAACGGGAGGACACAAACTAGCGTCCTCCCGTCACCCTAAGCTCAGTATACCGCGAGCTACAGCTCGCGGTATACTGAGACGCCGCACCTGGAGCGGATCCCGACAATTATGTCTGGATCCGCCCAGCTGCGTGAGTGACAGCTGGCTCTGCCTATCTAGAGGCAGAGCCAGCTGTACCCGCCCCCTCCCCCGTCCGTTCCGCCAGTCAGCGCTGGAGGATCGGAGCAGGGAATCCAGTCCCTCCTCTGTCACGGCAGAGAGCTGTGACAGGATCGAGAAGTGAGTGAATGCCGGTATGTGTTCGCTCACCTCCCGATCTACAGAGCCGACCTGTGACAGTCTTATTGTCACACGTCAGCTAGAACTATGAGGTGAGTGAAAAGCAGTCACCTCATAGTTTTCCTTTAACGTTGCTGCGTAATCGTCATAAGACATTGTTAAGGGTTAGAGATCTTAAGCCACACATTTATTCACACATATTTTCTCATGCCTGAATTAGTCTCCTTATTGACAGGCTCTGAGCAGAACAAACAGAAGAAACTGGCTGGTAGACTGGCGGTCATGCCAAGATCGAAATCAAAGGAAAAGGTGAGGAAAGCAGTGTAAACGTTTATGCATGTATATATTTGTGTCTGATAAAAACACTTAAATAATCTATTCCTATATTTATATTCATAAGCATAACAATCAGAATACTGTGTTTTTGCCTTTTTACTTTTATTCATACTTTTTATTGTTTTTCCTCCCTTATTTTGATGCACAAGCTGTCAAATGTTAATCTCAAAATTTGTACGGTCATTTTTCCAGTGTGGAGAAGTTTCGAAAACTAGCACAACATTTTAGTCTGTTGGACTTGATCATATACTCTATCAGGCTCGCGTTAATAGCATTTGTCAGACATGATGATGTTCAAGGGAAGTCTTTACCCATGTCATCAAGCACAGGCAGAGAAGGGGAAAAGATTGCTGTGAAGACTTCAGTACCACTGTTTTTCACATTTGAGCCACAGAGCCCCAACAAAATTGTTTGCCAAGTTTTGTTTAAAGAATTTTCTAAAACCATATTTTTCCATTCTACCTTTTACTTTAAAGGAGAACTATGACATGAGTGATTTCCACTCACGTCATAGTTCTAAGCCGACCTGTGACAATGAGACTGTCACAGGTCGGCTCAGTAGATCGGGAGGTGAGGGAAAACATACCGGGTTCCCTCACCTCTCGATCCTGTCACGGCTCTCTGCCGTGACAGGGGGAGGGGCTGGATTCCCCTCTCCCCGCTCCGATCTGACTGGCGGAACGGACGGGGGAGGGGGCGGGTACAGCTGGCTCTGCCTCTAGATAGACAGAGCCAGCTGTCACTCACGCAGCTGGGCGGATCCCGTCATCTAAGTCAAGATCCGCTCCAGGTGCGGCGTCTCAGTATACCGCGAGCTGTAGCTCGCGGTATACTGAGCTTAGGGTGACGGGAGGACGCTAGTTTGTGTCCTCCCGTTACCCCAAGGAGAACTATGGGGAAAAACACTGACCCCATAGTTCTCCTTTAAGCATGATAGACAGCAGTGAAAATAAGTTACCACTACAAAATGCATTTTTTAAATGATGCTGCAGAAACTGCTGTGGGTTGCCAATGGGCCCCAGGGCACAGCCCAAGACCTAAATAGATTAGAGACCATTGAACTCATTTAGGTTCTTCAAATGGTGTGCTGCTAGCTGTTGTAACCCTAGGGACTTCTTAGATTCCCGCAAGCAGGCCTTAAACAGACACTGGCATTAAGTCACAAATCTCTGTTCTGTCCATCCTGTCATAATGGCTGTTGGCATTATGCTCCACTACACATACAACCTAAGCCAACATAAGCCCGGTACAGTTAATAGCTTGAATATATCTGACTACTGTAGTTATCCAGTACTTGATGCAGGCAATCACAACCTGATACATACCTCTGCTCTATATTCGTGAATGGGAAGTTCACAGGCAACAATAGAGAAGCTGAACTGCACAACCTATCACTAGTTCTATATTATCAGTGTTTGCCAATGCTTTTCTTCTCCCGTCATCTTAGCAGATATTGCTGTGCATGATGGATCTTGTTATTTTATATATATATATATATATATATCTATTGGTAGAGGTGTGCTTGGCATTCTTGTAATGGGTGCCTAAATTTGCTTACATCGCTATCAGTGCCCAAATCAATTAATTACATGTACAGGTGAGGCATGGAATTCACTGATGTTGGTTATAACCTACACAACAAGTAATTCCTGGTTATTTGTGCCAGTTTTTGAGTCCATAATACTACATATCATGGTTAAGCCCTAAAGAAGGTAAACCTAAAGACCTAAAGAGGTCTTTAAACTGCCAAAGTGTATTGGCTGTTCTTTGCTGTCGTTTGTGAACCCATTCTATTATTAAACGTTTTTGGACTCTCATTTTGTCTTCTTTGGCGCTCTCATTGGACTGTATATACAGTTTGTGCAGATCAATCCAGTGTCAGTGGGGCAATTTGGCGCAAGAAGATTTTAAGATGGTTGGATTGTGCATGTTTGTCCCACCATTTTGTAATGTCTTGTGTGATCTTTAATTGCCTTATCTAAATACATTGTAATTCATCAAAACAAAAGGTGTTCAATAACTTAGAGTTTGTTTGCTTTCTTAAGCAGGCACAGCCTGGGTTAACATGCCCGTGTTCTGCCAGCAGGTGCAGCGTTGGACCCTTGTAATCTCTGGGGTAGCAGTGATCTCTTTGCAGAGGTCTGACCCACCCTTTCTGAGTCAGACCTATAGCTTTGCAGTTTGCAAAGATCATGCTCCCTGCTGATTGGAGAGCTCTGGCTCTGGGAAGCTGATTTCCCAGTCAAACACAATCAAGCTGGCCACACAACATCCTGGGTTTCCTGGGCAATCAGGATGCCAGGCGGTATGTCATTACCCACCGCCCAGCTTCCTGATTGCCCGGGAAGCCTGCTCCATGCCAGTGGAAGCACCGGTATCTGTACTCAGTATCGGCGAGTAGCAAAAGCAAAGCATGGGTGCTTGTAATCGATACAAAAAAAACGGTATCGGTGCATCCCTAATATGAAGTATATGAAGTCATTTCCGAAATGCTTTTCAGGTAAACTTTACAGTAATATACTTTTATTTTGCTTAGTCTTTTTTAATATACTTTTATTAACCTACACTTTTTTGTAAGGGTGTTAAAGAACATATGTTCAGATCCAGGTGCAGCACAGCATTGTACAGTACAGGTCCAGGTCTGCAATGTCCTTCAGCACATCTCTTCTGGACAGTATTTCATAGTCTGGTGGTACCGCTTTTCACTAGAGGTCGTAGTCATGAGGACTTTTCATGGATCTAGAGTCCCAGTTGGTGCACATGTGGCTGGGTTTTGCTTGACATTCTCAGTAAGGTCACTTCCTTCTGCGAGACTATAGTAAAGATCTTGGTGAGAATATACATCTTTGGAAGGGGTTTTTCCACCCCAAACTGATGTTTGTTTCCTGATGGCAAATGTTGCCTGCTGTAAAGGACCGCAGATTTCACTGAAGACCCCACTTGACATGGAGGCTTCCCAGCACCATCTACAAACATGGATGTGACACTATAGCTGATAATATAAGGTTTAGTAGTGTGTTTGTGTATACTACATATTTTAAAATACTACAGGTTTGTTTTAAGAAAACTGTTAGGGTCCATTCACAGAATTGTGGTGCGTTCGTGCACACACATTATGCCATGTGTTATAATGTGTATTGCATTGAGACAGCTCATTTGAATTGAATGGACTACCTAATGCACCAGAAAAGGTGCGTGTACCATTTCTGACAGTACAACGCACGTCTGTTGGTAAGTTGTGTTTGGGTGCCACTCAGAACGAATGTCACCACACACAATAGTGTGGCTAGGCCCTGGAAACCTGTACAGGTTCTATAGATGGCATATTGTTAATTTACGTTTGGAAAAACCACATTAGAATGTTATTGTGCCTGTTGTTATTGGTCAGTCTAATGTTGGCCTTACACGCATCGATTTCTTTTATTTTGTGTTCCCCATGACCTGTTTTTTAGCACATCTCTCCTGACATATTTTTGGCCTCACAAAATATACGGTAACTGGCTGAAGACGCTTGTATGCACAAGGTCGAATGTACTGCATCCTGCCTTCCAATTTTTTCAGATTAAAAATCACATTTTTAATACTGGTGCATAATCGCATAAGAAGGCCATCTTTTAATTTATTTAAGTAGATATCCTATTAGATTTTCATAAACCTTTCAAGTATATGTTATGGGGGTTTTGTCTTGGCAGGAGAAGCCGATAGCTCCCAGCAAGCCAGAGGTGAACTTCAGCCTTCTCAGTTCTCTGTGCAATGGCAATGTCTCTAGACAGAAAGCTCCATCTGATGGGATACATCGAATAAGAGTTGATTTCAAGGTTTCCTTTTTAATATTTTCTGTTTACTTTATTTGTTCTTGTCTGTACTAAAATGACAGCAGTAGTTATCTTAAACTTTTTTTTGCCATGTTTTCAAATGGTATGATTTTTCTACAGGGGGATTGTGATTTAGGAAGTGCCTGGGAGATGGATGGCCTCAACATACTCACAACTGTACCGATTACCCCACGTATAGTTTGCTTTCTTTGTGCCAGCAGTGGAAATGTTGAGGTGAGTTCATTTTCAACCAATTATGTTTTATTTTTTATTTTACTGCCAGTCTGATTTTGAGGAGAATGGGCTAGTCTTAAAACATCTGTCATGTTATTGTTCTCACTGTTTGTGAGATTTATTCTTACTTTGACGTGGTGGCCGTTGTCACTGTTACAGAAAGTGATAAAACATTTCTGGAGTAGATTAGTAATCTTCCAATGGGGACATCTGTCCTGGCAACACCTATCAAAGATGAGATGTCCTTCACTTTGAGTTTTCCTATCTCTCCTGTGGTCTTTCTGAGATAGAATCTTCCCAATTTCTCCCAGCTGACGCTTCTCCACTCCAAACGTGTTGGCTGAGACTCCACCTTTAAAAAATATATATTGGGTCTAGTCTGTGTGAAAATGTAAATGATTTTCCTTTAACAGAGTTGTTAAGTGGTTTTAACTAAATCTGTCATATGTGCTCTTTCTCCATTGCTGTTCTCTCTTACATTGTTTGACTTTGTTTGACTTTGTGTGACTTTGTTTTAAAACTAAGTGTTCTTAAAAGATGCACCTCTGCAGACAGTACAGAAGAAAATACATAAGTCTTTCTTCTACCACCTACACTGCTGAATGCCACCCTGTTGAAGTAAAATCCCCTACTTAAGGCTTCTTTAGAAATTGACACTACCAGGAGTGTTCATCCCTTTCCCTCCTTAGCACCCAGTGCTTCCTCCATCCACCTCCATGTCACTACAGGACACAGTAGTGATGTGAACATTGAGAAAGGAAA